TGTAATGCTCACTGAGAAAACAAAAGAGGTTTTGAGATTATTTTTCCAGCAATTGGACGAATGTTCTGTTAAAAACGTTTTATTGAGACTTGATGATTTGATGACCTATTAGAGATTTAACACATTCAGGAGAAAGACACAACATTTGATACAAAGTCCAGCAAATGAAATCCAACGTGCATTTAATAAGCCGCCCACGGGGGGGAGGGAGGGGACGGGGGGGAGGCGTGGACGAGCTGTTTTTAACAAAACAACAGCGAGAGGAAAACAAGTGTCGTCCCACGCACACGGCGACAGCAGACAGCTCTTCATTCAGTGATTAGGACCACCCACCTACACGGACCCTCACGCGTGACCAAACCTCCTCCTCTTCCTCCTCCTCCTCCTCCAGGTCATTAGTGCTGCAGCCGGCGGCCTGAATAGAAAACATTGGGATTCTCGCGTGAAGGATTCAAGTTCTTCTGGGGGAATAATTCACTGGATGAGAGACGCTGTCATGTAGAGTCTGCGCCGCAAACAGGGAGCTTAGCTTAGCAGAGAGGGAGAGAGAGGGAGAGAGAGGAGAGAGAGAGACGCCGCCCCGGCCCCCCCCCCCCCCCCCCCCCCCCCCCTCTCGCATCGTGCCTCTCGCTGCTGCAGTGAGACTCTGGAGAGGTTTCCTCCTCTCGGTGTCTCTGCTCGGAGGACGATCCTCTCTGTCTCTCTGGCTGAGCGAGAGGTCACTTCCTCTTCTTGTCTTTGTCTCCGTGACGGGGGGGGAGAGACCCCTCGCCCCACCACCAGAAGCTTCCACTCCTCTGAGTCTGGATGGAGCCTGTTGAATAACCGTTTTCACAGCGGATGGAGGAGGATCTTGACGTGGATCCGTCCTCCGTCTCTTTCCCTTCAACTCTTGTGGACTAAAACCAGCTCTTCTCTTCTCTTTGGTTCCCGCCCGCCATGTTCGCCAGAATCTTCATTCCAAGAAGCACCGGCAGCGCTTCGACGAGGCCGTGTCCCAGAACGTGATCAACCGCCTCTGTCGCAGCAAGAGCATCAGCGAGCCGCACGCCCGCATCCGCCGCAGCCGCAGCGAGGACCACTCGGACCGCCGCCACGGCTCCAAGCGGGCCAGCTCGGTGCCCCGAGACGGGGAACCGGGGGGGAGGGGGAGGCGGAGAGAGACAGGGGCCCCCGAGGAAGTCCGTCCCCGCGGTACCCGCGCACCCCCCCATCGGACCCCAACCAGAGGTGAGCACGCAGGTTTGAGACGCGCCGGTTACGCGTTGGCCGGGATGCCTCAGAGACGCAGCGAGGAGACACGGTGTCCCTTTCCCCCCCCGCCGCTGTCCTGTCGTCTCCTCGTGCTTCCGTCCTCAGCTGAACATCGTAGACAGATGATCGCACCAGACTGAGCTGATGTAAAAGTCTTTAATCCAGCTAACCCGAGCCCTTAACAGACCCCCAGACCCCCCAGACCCCCACTGCTGCCGATCACACTGCTGTCCATTAACCGATCAATCACCAACTATATAACTACAGTATCCACATGGGGAGGGAAGACGTGCAGCTGAATATCGCTGTTTTTCCTATCGGCAGGTCATACGCCCACCTGTGTGAATGGGAGAGGGAGAGGTTACAACATGGGGGGTTGGGGGTCGGGTTGGGGGTCAGGGGTCGGGGGGGGAACACACCCACAAAGACCAGTTGTGCCGCATGCTTCCCTGAGCGAATAATTAGTCTGTGTTGGTGAAAAACTAGGATGGATACAAACATCCATCAGAAGATTTAAGTTCTCAAGGATAATGTACAAATTATGATCCGGGGTTGTTTTGTTGTTCCACGTTTACTTTAGTGTGTTGTCATAGATACTGAAGATCATGTCCACAGCTGGTCTTACACAACACGGGTAACGATCAAAGAACACATCTGTACCGCGTGCTGAGCCGTGTTCCCGCGGCGGAACGTTCTGATTATGTAAAAAACAAAGCCGCTGAATCCGAAGTCCAGCAGAACGGGACGCGAGGGGGGGGGGGTCCTCCTCCACCCGCTGACATCTGGAATCAGTGTCCACGCCGTTAAATGAGACCATGACGTCATCCGTCATGACTGAGTATTAGAGCGTTTTGCACCAATTGAGCCATTTAGAGGAATTTAGCCTCAAACGAAGGTAAACGACTTGATGATATTGTTATAAACATGTAATAATTATGTTATTATGTAACCCTGTTCTACAGGATCCTCCGCGTGTACCGCGGCAAGAAGAACTTCGGCTTCACGCTGCGAGGACATGCGCCCGTCTGCATCGACTCCGTCATCTCAGGTACTGTGTGTGTGTGTGTGTGTGTGTGTGTGTGTGTGTGTGTGTGTTAATCACCACGTCATGTTATCGTACTTTCTTACATCTTAAATCTACAAACCTAAATGAAATGCATATTTGTTGGGCGCCACTCTCTCGTCCGTCTGGTGAATGTGACGCTACAACCAGCAGCCGGTTAGCTTAGCATAACGCTTAGCATAAAGCCTGGAAGCAGATATTTACGGTTGTGTTCAAACTGTTATATCATCTTACTAAAGATCATTTTTATACATCTGGTGTTGATTCCCACATCAGAACGTGAGGTCCGTTCTCCTTCATCAGCTGGGCTGAGGGACTTCTGGAAAAACAAAAACAATATAAAAAATCTGTCGACTTAAAAGCTTTCGCAGTTACATTACATTACATTACATGTCATTTAGCTGACGCTTTTATCCAAAGCGACGTACAATAAGTGCATTCAACCATAGGGTACAAAGTTACTTCTGTTTAGTTTATTTTTTGATGTAATTGAATTAACGGTTATTGCTTCCCAGACAAAAGCGCAGGATGAGAAAGGCTGTGGAGTTACTGTTGAGGGAATTTGCCAGGTTCCCTGGTGTTGAGGGAGGCGTGTGTGTGCGCGTGTGTGCGTGTGTGTGTGTGATGATGAACGCACTGTTCCCGCCCACCGCGGCGCTGTGCGGGGGGAGCTGACTCAGAGCCCGGTGGAGGTTGGTATGGAGACGGTGGGGGTGGATGGCACGTCTCCGGATCCCTCATCCCAACCTCCGTGAATGTGCGCACACGCTTATCACACGGAGACTTTGGGGGGGGGGGCACGGACACGCCATGTGAGGCGGGGGGGGGGGGAGTCGGGCACACCAAGAGGTCGATGGTGGACCAAGACAGGTTTCTCACGTAAGGAGGATTGAGCGTGCAAATCAGCTGTTGGACGTGTGATTGACATAACGCCCCCCCCCCCACCGTGACTCTGAATCTCTTTCTTCTCTCTCCCTCAAAAAGCCCTGCTGAAGAATGTGGACTGAAAATAGGCCACCGGATCCTCTTCCTCCATGGACTGGACATGAGGGTTGTCTGTGATGACGACATTATCTCTCGGAGAGATTTAGAATTTATCCCTCCTGCTGGTTATTCAAACCTCTTTCGTCCTGCCAGCTGATGCTCACGGAGCAGGAAGCTTTTATTTTGGTAATAGTTCCCCTTTAGTCGTGAGTCCTCGTCTGCCTCAAATAGACCCTCAATAAATACGCAGCTTTCAACATTTACAAAAACGCACTTATTCACGCTGTGGATCAGAAGATCCAACTCTCGACTCCAACTTTTTGTTCTACCTCTGAACGCCACCGCGTTCCTCCTTTGACCTCGGCCCGTGTGCACGTGCCCCTGCGCCGCGTGTAGGTTTGAACCTACGCAGCCCGTGAACTTCTCCTGTGGGAGGTGCCGTGGTTCTCGTGTGGAGAGTCGGAGTGGGAGCGCGGCCGGCGAGATGTTCAGACCGGATCGGCTGCCCCCGTCGGACACGTGCTGCTGCAGGAGGAGTTGTTCTCCAGGGAGAGAAAACAAAGCATGAGATGTGTTGGAGCTTCGGGTGTTTACAGAGTGATCATGTGGTTCTTCATTAAAACACGGAAGGTTTCCTCGTTAAGTGATTGATGTGGTTGCACATTTGCTCCAATCATCTCATCATTAACTTCTCCCTGTGCAGGAACTGCTCCCATGAGAAGGTAGTGTCCATGCTGCAGGGCAGCGGGGCCATGCCCACGCTGGTGGTGGAGGAGGGTCCATCAGACTACTCCTCGGACCAGAACGACCCGGAGGACTCTCCCAGCCTGGCCCCCGCGGCGGTGCCGCGCTCCAGGTCTCCGGCCCTCAGCTCTCTGCAGTGGGTGGCAGAGATCCTCCCGCCGAGCATCAAGGTCCACGGGCGGACCTTCAGCCAGCAGCTGGAGCACCTGCTGACCATCCAGGAGCGCTACGCGGTCTGCAAGTCCCTGGAGACCTTCTTCCAGCACCGGTGAGTGGGGGGGTCAAGGCGGCGTGGAGGGACGTGTGAGGAGAAAGAAACACTGTGGGTCTGAAACGATGAGCTGAGAAGCACGGCAGCTTTTAGTAAAAGAATTCTTAAAAATAGGCCGAGCGTCTCTGGGGAACATCAGTTTGTTAAGCTGACGGCTCCAAATAGGAGGAAAATAACGTCGCAAACGATGACACCTAAAGGGTCCATATCAGCATTTCCCAGCTCCCGCTCTCCTAACTAGCGGCTTAGATACACAGAGATGTCGCTGTTGCCTGGGAAACTGTCTCTGTGTTGCTGAGGATGCTCTTAATGCAGGAAAAGAGAGGGATGGAAACAATTACGGTGACAGGCGGGCGAGAAGAAGAGCAGAAACAAATGCAGATGTCTAAGCAGGAAGTTGACCTCTGCCGTTACGCGCTGATGGCGCAGGACGACCTGAGCCCACGCGATGCAAACACCAGTAAAACACCGATGCAATTCTACAGAACGTGCGTAGCGCGTAACTCCCTCCATCCCTGACATCCTCCCACTGTTGCATAATCTGCTTTCCTCCTGCATCTCGCCTCATCCTTCCACCACAGCGCAAAGCGTTCCTTCCTCTCAGCCCGGTGGCACGCGGAGAAGTGACAGCATGCGTTGTGCGTCCGCAGGAACGTGGACACTCTGATCGTAGACGTGTTTCCGGTGTTGGACACCCCGGCCAAACAGCTGATCTGGCAGTTCGTTTACCAGCTGCTGACGTACGAGGAGCAGGAGCGCTGCCGCGGGAAGCTGTCGCGCTTCCTGGGATTCAAGAGCAGCGGTGAGCCGAAAAAAAACACGTACCGGCAGCCGGTCGATACGTCGCTGGTTTGCTTCATGACTTCCATCGTTTGAGGTGGAGAGCAACATGATTGAAACATGTCGGGTGAAAGTGGAAACCAGCCCCCGGGTGGTGGATGTGGTGGGAGGCTGTTGCTTTGTTAATCGACACGGAGCAGCTGTGCATGATGTGCGTGTGCGTGTGCGTGTTCTGCAGGAGTCTTGGAGCCTGAAAGCGGCCCGGAGCTCCACCGGCGGAGCAGCTCCGTGCGCGTGACGGGAACGTCGTACCGAGGCTGCGTTCGGGAGAGGAGCTCTGACGACTGCATCATCGGGACCCACCTGGGGATGGGTACGAGGGCCGGGGCTGACCTCCGACCTCTGTGGGATCCTTCTGGCTTAGAGACTAGATTAGCAAATACTGGTTTATGTATATAAATGAATAGGTAACGACAGTCGGTGCGCTGGCCCTTTGTCATGGAACCGTCAGTAGTAATGAAACCCCACTAAATGAGCTTCCTGCAGCCGCCACTGTACTGCTCCTATTCCCTCGGGCAAGGCATCTTAACCCGGTGAGCCGCTCCGCGTCCGGCTGCTCCCGGGGGGGGAATGTGTGTGTGATCGTTTGCTCAGCAACGCCTTTCGTGAGATAAAATGCGCCGCCACCCGTCCACGCATTATCTCCGCGTCTCAGCCGAAGCACGTTTCATTCATGGTTTCATCGCCCGTGTGTCTGCTTCATCCTCTCCTGTCTCGGCGGCGGGGGGACGGAAGGAAGGAGGCTTATGTGTCCCTCTTCGTGCCTTGTTGTGCTGTAGGAATTCACGTGGATGAATCTGGGAGCCCGGAGGAGAGGCAGTCGGGAGACGGAACCTCCTTCCCCGAGTCCCCCGACCTCAGTCACGTACGTATGCCCGCAGCTTCCCGCTCGGCCGTCTCCTCACATTGTTTGAAGCTGCTGCTGTTTAAAAGTGGCCGCAGTGGCGAATGATTCCGGCCGGCTCGGCGGCGCATGTGTGGATGTGGCGCTGACCAGCCGATCGTGCCTCCGCCCGTAGATGGCCGGCGTGTACACGGAGCTGGAGAACGTGTACGCCGCGGGGAAGAGCGCGTCGGCGGCGCCGCGGCGCGGCTCCTCGGCGGAGCCGGAGGGCGCGGGACAGACCGAGGCCTTCGGGCGCTCGCTCTCCCCCCTCACCCTCCCCCCCCTCACAGGTACTCACAACGCGCTCACGCACACCAATGGATGAGTTTGTAGAATGAGCGGCGGGACCTTCGCGCCTCGGCGTAACCTTCACGTCTGCTCTCATCTGCAGCTTTGTTTGTTTAATCAAATGACTTTGAATGAGTTTGTTTCAACGCGGCATCAGAACCGCTGAACTTCTTCATGCTGGAACTCATTCAAATTTGACAATCTAAATATGCGCCTCAGTGCCTGCGGTTGATCCTGTTGTTGCCATGGTAACCTCTCAGGCGAGAGGATCCCCATGGCAACCACGGGGCCCGAGGATGTCGCGCACACTTTCTTGGGGGATTAAGGAGCAAATTTCAAAGTCATCTAAAGGTTCTAAAGAATCGTCTTCATCATCATTCCAACCTCCTCCTCCTCTCCACAGGTAGTCGGAAGTCCGGCCTGTCCCTGTCCTGGAAGGAGCCCCTCCCCACCCCCGTGTACGAGATCCACCACCAGAGCAGCGTGGACTCCAACCCCTACGTCAGCCTGGAAAGCCCCCCCGCGTCCCCTCAGCACTCGGACGGCGGTCCCAACACGCTCACCCGCCGCAAGAAGCTGTTCACCTTCTCCCGCCCGCCTCGCAGCCGGGACACGGACAAGTTCCTGGACGCTCTGAGCGAGCAGCTGGGCCATCGCGTCACTCTGGTGGACGACTTCGTCCCCGGGGAGAACGACTACGAGGAGGTGAGGACGACCCGCCTCCCTGTTCATCCTCTAATGTCTCATTACTCCGCCACCAATCCCTGCGAGAACTGTGGGCGGGACTTCCTGTTGGAGTCCTTTTTGAAAAATAATGAATGATTGACAATCTCTAATAATATTTGAACACATATCTTAGAAACAATCCTGCTGTTGTGTATTTTGTTTGTGTCAAATAATAAGTAAATTCCCATGTGACTGAAGTAGTGTTAGCAGCTCTAATGGACGATACAATGAACACTTTGTCACATGAACAGATATATCACGGTGGTTGTCATGGTTTCAGAAGAAGAGGGGTGCCTGTAAGTAAAACTTATCAAAGTTAAGTGTTTTATTTAAAGCTGCTGGCTGACGTAGAAACCATCAAACACACATTACAGCAAAGTCACTTCTGTTTCTGGCAGATTGTCGTCTGAAATGTTGAGCAGCATTTGTACAAAGTTAATACCAATAACAAGTTGGTATTTTAACTTCACATTATTAGCTTGCCTTTCTTGTTCCATAAATAGATTGGCTATTTAAGTGCATGTTTTTTAGAATGTTCTTTATTTCATTCTTTTATGACTTCTCTGCTCCATTAGAAGGTAAAATGGAAATATTGCAGATCCAGTTTGATAAGCAAGATAAATAGATCCATCCGGCACCATTTATTGATCTGCAGTAGATCCCGTTGGGTGGGGCGTCGTATCGACCGGCTCTGACGGCCTTCTTCTCGCCCCCCCAGATGAGTTTCCAGGAGGACCAGGACTCGGGCTTCGCGCCTCGCCGGCTCAGCAGCGGCAGCAGTGAGGAGCAGAGCAGCGAGGCCTCCTCTCCCTCCTACTCCTCGGAGTCCGAACCCATCCCGCCGCCCCTCAACCCAGAGGCCCCCGCCCGCCCCCGGCCTTTCCAAGCTCTGATACCGGCCCCCGTTCAGTTCACGGACCCCCTGCCGCCAGTCCGCTTCTCGCCTGAGGACGTTACACGGCAGCCGAATGCCCTTCCAGCGCAAAACCCCATCATCCCGTCCTCCCCCAGCCGCCTCTCCGGACCATTCTGTCCCACCGCTGCCCTGTGAACCAAAACGCCCTCCACGAGGGGACGAAGTCGAGAAAACCCCCACCCGCAAATAGACCGCGTCACCCGCCTGTCCCACGGCCACGCCCCCCCGGGCTCCAGCACCCTGCGCTCCGCCCAGCCGTCTCGGCCCTGCTACCTGCCCCGGCAGCTCAGCCAGCCGCAGCCCATCCTGCAGCCCTCCCCCCTGCCCTCCCCCCTGCCCTCCCCCCAGCAGCTGAGACCCAGCCAGCTGGTCCTGCAGAGACACCACCAGCTCCACCACCAGCACAGCTACCAGGGCCCGCTGCCCCCCTCCCTCCGGGACCACGGCTCGTCCACGTGTCAGAGCCAAGGCCCCCCGGCCTCTCACTCCACCCTCCCCAGTCACAGCAAGACCTACGAAGCCCCCCGGCAGGAACACCAGCCCCCCCAGGTAACAAACACGGCGCCGGGCAACAGACCTTTGAGCCGCCGTGCTTCATTAGGCTTCTTCTCTGCACACTGCGTCTGCACACCGCATGTACACACTACATGTACACACTGCGTCTACACACTGCGTCTACACACTGCATGTACACACTGCGTCTGCATACTGCGTCTGCACACTGCGTCTACACACTGCATGTACACACTGCGTCTGCACACTGCATCTACACACTGCATCTACACACTGCATCTACACACTGCATGTACACACTGCATGTACACACTGCATGTACACACTGCATGTACACACTGCGTCTGCACACTGCGTCTGCACACTGCATGTACACACTGCGTCTGCACACTGCATGTACACACTGCATGTACACACTGCATGTACACACTGCACCTTTTGGTCTCCTGGTGAGGATCTAAGTTGTGAGCGGTTGTATTTGTCCGGTGGAAGAAGACTAAAATGAAATGTGAATCTCCAAGGCGCTGCCCCCGCCGCCTCCACCCCTTCCTCCGCCCTGTGACCCGCCTCCGCTGCCCAAGCCGGGCCACCAGGCCTCGGACACCACCCACATGAGTGTGAAGAGGCTGCGCTGGGAGCAGGTGGAGAACTCTGAGGGAACGATATGGGGTCAGGTGAGTCCACATAGTCACATATTGATGATGTGTGATCGTCTGCAGGATGAGAAACAGAATCCTCTCACTCGGCGTCACACGGGGAAAATGGTGCAAGAGCTTTATTGTCCTTCTCTGTCCAGCTGGGAGAGGACTCCGACTGTGACAAGCTCACTGACATGGTGAAGTACTTGGACCTCGATCTGCACTTCGGGACTCAGCGGCAAACCAGTAAGTCACCGAGTCCTGAACATCACGTCTTCATCTACACGCCGCTCAGTGTCGCTCTGAGATGATCCCTGGACGAGCACCTGTGTGCGTTCATCTATTGACATCCCCGGTTTTGTTTGTACCTTCACACTTGTGCTGCGCTGCTCCGTTCACCTGTTTATCCAGTCCTTCTCCACCGGGCACCATCACCCCCCCCCACACCCCCCACCCCCCCTCCCCTGTGTTCACAGAGATCAGTAATAACACAGCTCTGCCAAAGGAAACGCACACATTACTGTCATCTATTGTACACAGTGTGCAGAGCTGTGTTATTAACCCATCGCCCTGTGTGTGTGTGTGTGTGTGTGTGTGTTGACCCCCGCTGTCTGGAGAACACGCCCTCACACTGTTGTTAATATTGTTAGTTTCCCCTCCAGAGGCGACCTTCTTGCCCGACAGCTTTAAAAAGAAGGACGTGGTGGAGATTCTGTCTCACAAGAAAGCCTACAACGCCTGTAAGTACCACGAGAGCCCGGCGGGTCACACCTGAGCGGGCGGGTTCCAGGTCGCCGAAGGCCGACGCCTTCAAACTCGCCGACGTCTCGAAATGCAAAACGCCGAGATAGATTTTTAGTCTCAATGAAGGAAAGAGCATCAACAACAACAACAACAATCGAAGGAGACAAACGCTATGCAATTTGCAGATGAGAATCTACGTCCTGATGTCAATGACATCACTGATGTAACGAAGCAAACAGACAACAGATGTTTCCATCTCGATTCACTGTGTTGAAGTCAAATGTGTCTCAAATAATTCCGACTAGCACGCTGTTATCAGGCTTAATTTATCCTCTGGCTTCTCATCCAACTCATTCAGTTTGAGGAAGGATTTTTTTAATCGCGGCTGGTTGTTTTTAATAAGCGCTCTTATTTTGAAAGAACAAAACACCTGGTCGGTTTCTATGATTTGGTGATGTTTCGAGGTAGGTGTGTCGGGAACCCTCCCAGCATGCACTGGGGCAATGCATTCATGTTGATGATGTTCTACATTAAGCTGTTACTTGACGGCAGAACACCGTTAACGACGAGACGCTAACGACGTGAAACCTCAGTCAATAGTTTCAAACATTTCACTGACGCCAGATGAAATGACACATTCCATTTGTAACAGTCACACGTTCGGTTGAGTTCAGGTCTTTTTGGTCATATTATATAAAGCTATATTTTGTTGCATATTGTTGTTTTTATATTTTTGTATATTGCTCATGTTTAAGTGTAGGTAACTCTTTATTGCCATCAGATCATGAGGATTACTTCATAGGCTGCATGTTCTCATCTAAAATGCTAATTATTATTAACACAGACATTTGTATCTGTAAATGAATCCATGTATGCAGTTATTGATCGTGATCCAGCTGTCAGTAATCCTGTACTTTGTATGTGTTTCTTCTTCTGGCGATTAAGAGAATAAATGTCCGTGATCTCATGATGAAAATGTGTCTTCACTTGTTGATGCAAAAACAACAGGTTCCCCTTTATGATTCAGAATAACTACCAAACTTCACGGTTATCAAAAGGTGGTACCGGTCTCTCCTCACACATAACCCATCATTCAAACATGAATCACAGTGTGGGAATGTTGTGACGCACGACGTAGAACAGAAGAACACATGAACACTTGTGTTGTTCCGTTGCGTTATTGTCCCAATGCATGCTGGGTGGCTTTAAATAACTGCATCACATGATCAACACTCAGAAGTGCTGTTCATGCCGTCAGCAACACTCATTTTACCTTCATTTATAAGTAAGAATGTACAGTTATGAAATAACGATTTCAAAATAAGAGCGCTTATGAAAAATAAGGTCACCAGTGTCGGGTAAATGAATCTTTAAACTGAGCTCAAGCGCAACGAAATGAGCTGGAAGATAATTAAAATGATTACTTTTAACCTTAAGTGTGAGTTTGATAAAGGTGGAACTTGTTTGGATTTATTTTCTTAGTGATGAGTGTAAAGAACACCTTCAATATAAAACAAGTCTCATTTTAGCAAAAAACATTATTTTTGAAGCCAAGCAGACGTGTCCCTGTTTTATGATGTAGTCTTTTCTACTGGCTTACCTTCCTGTAAGAAGATTTATTTCTGCTATAATTACTAATTATAATTATTATTATTACAGCTTTGATCCATACTCGTTTATATTTAAATAATAGCGGGCAGATGGGGGGTTCTGTCAGGAACATCTGGACCCTCCTCACAAGCTAACTCCTCCTCCTCCTCCCCCTCGGCAGCCATCCTCCTCGCCCACCTGAAGCTCTCCTCCAGCGAGCTGCGGCAGGTGCTGATGAACATGGCGACGGAGCGGCTGGAGCCGGCTCACATCAAGCAGCTGCTGCTCTACGCGCCGGACGACGACGAGGTCGAGCGGTACGAGCGGTTCGAGCAGGACCCGGCAAAGCTGAGCGAGCCCGACCGCTTCATCTTCCAGGTACGCCTTCTGGCCCGAGGCCCGGCCGCGGGTCCAGGAGCAGCGCCTCCGTCAAACCCGTGTTTCCCTGCGCCTGCAGATGCTGATGGTGCCCGAGTACAAAACCCGCCTGCGGAGCCTCCACTTCAAGACCACCCTGCAGGAGAGGACGGAGGAGATGAAGGCCGCGTACGATTGCATCTACAAGGCCTCCGTGGAGCTGAAGGGCAGCAAGAAGCTGGCCAAGATCCTGGAGGTGAGCGCCCGGCGGCGGGAACAGGGAGGTGAGGCCGTGCGTTTGCATCACAGCTCACCGAGTCCGTCTGTTTGTCGGCCAGTTCGTGCTGGCGATGGGGAACTACCTCAACAACGGGCAGCCCAAGAGCCACAAGACCACCAGTTTCAAGATCAGCTTCCTGACCGAGGTACGGCCCACGCCGCGGAGCCTCGCCCTCCTCGTGTTTTCCCTCCTCCCTCATTCCTTCCTCTCTACCTCGCAGCTGAGCACAACCAAGACCGTGGACGGGAAGTCCACCTTCCTCCACATCCTGGCCAAGTCTCTGTGGCAACACTTCCCCGAGCTGCTCAACTTCTCCAGAGACCTGAGCACGGTGCCGCTGGCAGCCAAAGGTACCGCCGCCTCCCCAAAGGGAATCCCTGCTCCGCAGTGATGAGCTAACGGCCGATGTTTGTGTGCTCAGTGAACCAGAAGACCGTCGCAGCAGAGTTGAGTGACCTCGGCTCCACCATCCTGGACATCAGGAAGGCCTGTCTGAAGGTCCCCCCCACCTCCGAGGACCACTTTGCCTCTGTGATGAGCGTACGCCGACCGCCCATCACACACAGCACACGTCACATGTGTTACATGTTACATCCAACATGTTGTGACTCCCCACCCATCAGGGTGAGAAGGCTCAGTCGTTTGATGCCTCGTTGCCCCCACAGAGCTTCCTGGAGAACAGCCACCCTGCGATCCAGTCTCTGGAGTCCCTGCAGACTCAGGCCATGGAGGAGTTCTGCAAGGTGGCCTCCTTCTTTGGGGAGGACGGCAAGTCGGCCAACACGGAGTCCTTCTTCGGCATCTTTGCAGAGTTCATCTGCAAGTTTGAGGTGAGCTGGTCCTGCTGAGAGGAGAGGATGTGTTCTAATATATATAATATATATATAATAGTGTTTGGTGGATTCAACCTGCAGTGATTGTGTCACAGACTGGAAGCAGCGCGCGATGACCTCATCTTTTTAATGGAATATAATTCTATGCTATTTGTAGTGACATCTCACACACTGTACTATTCATTGTTTGATGGTAGGAAATGCTGCACATTTCAACAGAAAACCATCAGAATAGACGGCAAAAGAAAATTTAACATTAACATTTAACAACAATTATTGATTAATAAACGATAGAATAAAGGGATACTGTGACATTTAGTTCTGTTAGTTTTATATATTTTTCTTTATGATGTTTCTATGACATATGAGAGCATCTTGTACTTAATGAGCTGTGAAAGACTTTGTGAATTCATCTTGACGTTCCAGCTGTAGAATCCCCAAATATGAAAAATAATCAGTCAAAATGAGGTATAAATCACGTGAGATGTTTTTTTGTCTTGCAGAGAGCCCCTCACTGAAACCCAGACTGCAGAAAACCCCCTGAGTCCCCAGGCTGTCCTCCCCCCCTGGCCTGGTGAAGACCTTCTCAAGGCCTGGTGAAGACCTTCTAAAGGCCAAATGAAGACCTTTTGAAGGCCTGGTGAAGACCTTTTGAAGGCCTAATGAAGACCTTTTGAAGGCCTGGTGAAGACCTTCTGAAGGCCTAATGAAGACCGTCTAAAGGCCTGGTGAAGACCTTCTAAAGGCCTAATGAAGACCTTCTAAAGGCCTAATGAAGACCTTCTAAAGGCCTGGTGAAGACCTTCTAAAGGCCTAATGAAGACCTTTTGAAGGCCTGGTGAAGACCTAAAGGCCTAATGAAGACCTTTTGAAGGCCTGGTGAAGACCTTCTAAAGGCCAAATGAAGACCTTCTAAAGGCCAAATGAAGACCTTCTAAAGGCCTGGCGAAGACCTTCTAAAGGCCTAAAGAATACCTTCTAAAGGCCTGGTGAAGACCTTCTAAAGGCCTGGTGAAGACCTTCTAAGGGCCTAATGAAGACCTTTTGAAGGCCTGGTGAAGACCTAAAGGCCTAATGAAGACCTTTTGAAGGCCTAATGAAGACCTTCTAAAGGCCTAAAGAATACCTTCTAAAGGCCTAATGAAGACCTTCTAAAGGCCTGGTGAAGACCTTCTAAAGGCCTAAAGAATACCTTCTAAAGGCCAAATGAAGACCTTCTAAAGGCCAAATGAAGACCTTCTAAAGGCATGGTGAAGACCTTCTAAAGGCCTAAAGAATACCTTCTAAAGGCCTGGTGAAGACCTTCTAGAGGCCTGGTGAAGACCTTCTAGAGGCCTGGTGAAGACCTTCTAAAGGCCTGGTGAAGGGATGGAAGCAGACGTCAGGCACAGAACTCCCCAAACCCAAAGTGGCGGGACCCCCTACGGAGACACTGAGGTCTGCAGACAGAAGGAAAACGGGCTCCATTCATCCGTAGAACCACGGCGGCTGAGGAGAGCTGCTGTTGACACATCAGACATCCACAGCAGCATTTCCATCTTTAGTACAAACGGCACACAGCGACAGTAAAAGGTGACTTGATGCTTTAAGACGAGGCGCAAGTAATAAAACCAGCTGGTCGCATTTGACCAGGTTACCTGTTTAATACGACGATATAAAGTTTATATTTTCTATCAGATCATATTTGAGAACTGTAAAGATTGAGCGTAGATGTAGACAGTCATCGAGGAGCAGCAGAAGTGTAGATCAGTTAGCGTGTAGTTAGCGTGCACAGAGCCGATTTGATTTAGAAAGAGTTTCTAAACATCTGGAATCCACATCAAGCAAATGGAAAACCTGCAACAATCATTTCAATGTAGAGTATTTAACATGAAGTGTTCAGTATTTATTTTAACGAGTAGCTTCTGCGTAGACGCATCGGCCTCACTGCTCCATAACGTGTTCATAGACGTCTAACCAGTGAAACCACGAAGGTCACGAGGTCACGCTCTCTTTAGGACTCCAGTAGTGGGGGGGGGGGGTCAAACGTGCATGCGGAGTGAGAATGTGATGCGTGGTACAGTAAAGGGACACATTTGCTGTTTTTCTGGTCGTCATGGCGACCGGCCGACTCCTCCAGCATGCGGCGTGTGGTAACTATAGTTTCCATTCAGCTTGTGTGTCTTGTTTCCTTATTGAAGTCATCTGGAAGGGATCCATGTCATTCCTGTTTTAACATGTATCGCATGTTGGTAGCGTGTAGCGTGTGCAGCTGGTAGCGTTCCCTGTTTAACATTAAAGGAAAGTATCTTGTGTATCAGGCTCCGTTTCTCATTGTTTGATGTGTTTCCAAATGGTTCTGATGGATAAAGGAACACCATGATTAAAAACGTTGTTTGCACTCAAACATATAAACCGTTTAGTTTCTTCATATACTTTATTTTCTTTGGAAGGTGTTTAACCAAGCGTACATATTCCATGATGAAGCCCACTGACGGCAGACATGCACATCTGTGGAGCTTAAAACGCAGCACTGTCACTTCTAGTTTAATGGCATTTGTTCAGCTTTGAGATACTAAGATAAGGCAGCAAGGTGGGGGGGTCCGGGGGGTCCGAGGGGTCCGGGGGGGTTGGTTGCCTCTGAACAACAAGATGCTTCAGGAACCATCGAGGCCAGAAAGCAAAAGCCTCCACAGAGAAGACTTCAGACCAGAGGTCTTGTCACATGACCCGGGGGTGTCACATGACTACTGGGGTCAACTCACCGGACGGGTTTACTAGGAAACAGCTCATTGGCCTCCGTTCAAACATCTGGTAAGAATCATCTAAATACTGTTCGGTCTGGGAGGCGGTTTGATTCTGCTACTTCCACCACGAAGCTCTGTGGAAGACGTCTCCTGCCGAGGGACACGTTTCCTTCCCCACGTCCCAGAAACACGCCTGTTGCCATGGCAGCTTCTTGGAAATACTGTATTACACAGTAAATCATTGAAGGTTATTACACGTTCCAGGTGGAGTTTAAAGATTAAGACACAGGGAATGTTTTCACAGCGCTAAATAAATACAGCAGAGAGGCAGTCGAGTGCCGCCGCCCCCCCCGTCCCCTGTCCCCTGTCCCCGCTAAGGAAACACCTTTCTCATTCCTCGTTCTAAGGCCCATTTTTTTTACATTAAAAAAAACACCAGCCAGCCAACGAGTCGGCCCGGTGCTTCATGTATGTGATGTCATCACGGTTTGTGATGACATCATCACGGTTTGTGATGACATCATCATCAGTCTTTGTGAGACGACGTAATCTCCTCGTGAGCGCCATCCGGCCGCGGGTGGAGGTGGCTGGAGGTTTGGAGAGAGCTACCTGAGGGGGGGCAGTGGCCCTGTGACTAAAGCAGTGATTCATTTAGAAATCATTTGGTGTATAAATTGAAACGTTGTATTTTTATCGCGTTGCATAAGAAATCGTTCCCAACGTGCTGAACCATCACTGCCATCGTTTACCCCCCCGGGGGGGACGTCCTGCAGCTGGACCGGGACGCGTCATCGTCTCCGCCTCATAGGACGGTGCTCTCAGTGTCCAGGTCACAGTCTTTGGGGGGGGGCAGGCAGGACGAGGGGGGCGCCGCAGGCTGCAGGTCTCCAACGTACTCGGGGATCAAAGGTCGACTCGGCCCTTTGAAAGACATCGATGGGTCTGGAGGGGAGGGGGGGGGAAGGGGGTGGGGGGAGGGGAGGGGAGGGGTGTGGGGGGGCAATCACAATCAGGTTCATTTTAACGCTGCACACAACAAAAACATACCAAGGAATGTACTAGAAAAGAGCAGCAGCTGTGTGTGTGTTTGAGTGAACTCACATGCAACACACACACACACACACAAACACACACACACACACGGAACCAACAGCTCCCTTAATCGCTGACATGTGGAGCTTTAAAGTTCTGGTGCAGCGGTGTCATATTTTCCAGAGCTTAAAGGGCCGCGGGGGCTCAGCGGGGGGGAGGGGGGGGTTATTGAACAGCAGGTGGTGCTGTTTGACCAGCAGGGATAAGGGAAGGGGGGGGAGCAGTTACTGGGAATGTACATTGGGGGGGGGGAGAAGGACTAAGCTCACCCGTCGTCTTGGGAGCACAGATCCCGTTGGAGTCCCCGGCGGGCGTGGGGGGGTGGCGCAGCGGCGGCGGCAAGCTGGGGCGGTTCCGAGGCTTGGGGACGGGCCGCGGCCGGGGGAGGGAGCCCGTCTGGTAGGGGGAGGGGGGCGGAGGCCCCGCGTCCCGGGCGGGGGTGGAAGGCGGGGGGGTGTTGGGAGGGCTCGGAGTGCCGGGGGGTTCGGGGGGGTCCGAGCCCCGATGGTCCCCGGCGGGCCGCGGCGGGGGGCTGGCCTGTGACGGAGGCTCCGGGGGGGGGTGGCTGGGGGCTTGGATCGGGGTGTGGTTGCTGGAGTGGCGTCTGGGCGTGGCACACGGCTGTGAGGGCGAGGTGGGGGAGTGGCCGGACCCCCCCGGTCTGGGAGAGGGGCTGAGGGACTGGGACAAGGAGGGGCCGGGTGGAGGGTTCAGTGGTTTGGGGGGGGGTGGAGCCTGCTTCTTGGTACCTGAAATTGGAATCTGGTTATTATTGGAATAACAAATATAAAGTAAGTAGCAAATAAACAAGTTCATTTGTTTCTGTGCAAAAACAAGAACAAAAGCAACGACAGTTCGAGACTAAAGACAGGAGGCGGAGTTCTTAGGGTCCGAGGGTTCGGGGCCCCGTTACCTCTGTGCGGACTGGGCCCCATGGGTCCGGCCCCGGGGCTCCCAGCGGCGTGGCCCCCCCCCTCCAGAGCCATTCCTCTGGAGCAGCGGGGTCTGGTGGAGCGTCGGGTCCCGTTGCTTCGGGGAACTGAGGAGACAAAGGAAACGTCTCACTGGCCTGAACTACGCACATCGAGTGACGTCGTCCTTAGTTAGTGGGAGACTCCTGCTGGTCACAGTGGCCCGGGGGGGTCGAGGGGGGAGGGGGGGGGACGGGGGGGGGGCAGCGCTCTTACCTGAGCTCCTCCGCGTGCTGCGCTAGAAGCTGCTGAGCCGCCAGGCTCTGGCCCAGCTGGGGGGCGTCGGCGCCTGAACCCCCCGATTGAGTCTGCGGCGGGGGCTCGGCTGGGTGCTGGGCGACCGCCCCCCCCGGAGCCTCCACGGGGGGTAAAGGGGGCTGGAAGGCGGGCGACGTGTGCTGCTTTCTACCCGAGGTGTTACTGCCCCTACGCAGCGTGTGGTCCGAGTGCTTGTTAGGGGTGCTACACGGGGGGGGGGGGGGGGGGGGGGGGGTGGGGGGGGTCAGTGTAGGAGAAGAAAGAAAAAGCAAATCTTTCACAGATTGGACCTCGAGAGGGAATCATGACAGAAGCGATTCAAAGCGAAATCAAATGAAGCAAAAGAAAAGGATGAAAGAGGCCGAACAACAACGGAGCGCGTGAGGACGTCTGTGGAGACGACGGCGTGCGCAGCGACTCCGCCTCCTCACCTGTCCCTGCGCGGCGCGTCGCTCTCCGGCCCCACCAGGCTGCCGGGCCGCTTCCTCTCCACGGTGCCACAGTCGTAGTCCGGGTGGTTGCCGTGGCTGGAGGACGCCGCGGGCATCGCGAACATGCCGGACACGTTGAACTCCACGTCTGTGGGGGGGGAGGAGGGGGGGGGCGTGAAGTCACCAGTGGAGCCAAACAGTCTACTAACGCATAGTAGACTTCGTGATAAAGGTCTTCATCCAATCAAATGAAGAAGCCCGCCTCCAATCACGGCACTCGGGATGAATATTAAACCACGGTTTGTCCCCCGGGAATCGCTGGTGTCAAATGGGCGTCGCAGAAGAAGGGCGGTCTGACTAGAGGAAACACCACCAACCTCCAGGGAAGAACCAGTCGGCGTGCTGGATGAGGGGCTCCACGATGGCCACCACGTGCACCGAGGTCGCTGCCGCCATCTCAGCCAGACTCCTGGTCACACACGAGCAGAAATGAGATCATTTCTAACCGGGACTCTGGTTGTGCTCCGTTAGCTGCCCCCCCCCCCCCCTCACCCCTCGGTCTTGGCCCACATCAGGTTGGGTCCCAAGACGATGGCCAAGTTGCTCGGGGTCATTTTGTTCACCTCGCTGTCCTGAGCCAGCTTGGCTAAGAACTTCACCAAGTACCTGCAAGCAGACCGGGGGGAGGTAAAGGGGGGGGGGGGAATTCAGGGGGGGCACTGAACTGTGAAAAAACAACCCGACGGTTTTTCTGGAAGGTGCGAACCACCTCAAGGTTGGCTTTGTTGCCTCTTGGGAAGGTGTCACACACCAACCACAGCGGCTGCAGGCCTCTTGTTCCGGTCCGACACGCTTGCCAGAACACACCACATTTCTCTCGTCACCCCCCCGATAGCTGAACCCCCCCCGGACGGCTGAACCCCCCCGACGGTTCTGAACCCCCCCGACAGATTCATCCCGATAGCTCTCGTTCAACATGTGCGTGATAACGCAGAGAGGCTCGCCTGGACGCCTGGATCCACTCGTCGTAAAGCTGGTACGTCATCAGAGGTTCTGGCAGTTCCCTCAGGTAGGACTTCAGAGCCCCTGAAAGCAAACGCAGATGGTGGTTTTTAATGTTCTAAGTCCACGCAAACCAACACCAGAACCTTCAGAAGGACGGATCGTCAAATAGATTTGGCCAAATAACCGATATAGTTCTGGCATCTGTAAGTAAACGGGTTGAGAGAGACTCAAATGCGACATTTAAATGCTTTAACTAAAGTATGATGAGAGAATTACAGCAGGAGGCGTACCGGCCACGGCGTGCGGGTCGGAGTAGAACTCCTCCAGCTGGGAAGTGGAGCAGTCCAGCGCCGCTTTCAGCTTCTTTAGCTTGGACGCTCCGGCTGCGATTCTGAGCAGACCCTAAAAAACACACAAGGACACAAAGAGACCACAGTCACAAAGACACACACACACACACACAACTACACACAGTCTGCATGAAGCCGAGACCATAAACTCCCAGCTGCACATAATGACACACAAACACACGCAGTGTTTACTGTGACGCACAAAGGCCATCTTCACCCCATAATGACACAGATTCAGAGCACACAAGTCGATTCTTCTGCATTCTATGTTTATTGGGGGGGGGGGGGGGGGGATGTCACCAGGCCTCACCTCTTCCTTCATGCCGGTCTCCAGCAGCATCATGACGCAGGCCTCTACGGGCAGAGCAATCTCCCTTCCACTCCTCTTCAGGTGTTCGTCCAGCGCCGTGCCGAACGCCGGCTTCTCCGTCCACGAGTCTGAAAACAGTTGAACCCGGTTCATTCTGTGCAGCCCACAAGCTTCACACGGCGCCCTCTTATATCCACTAAACGTAGCTGCTGACACAAAGACATTTAGTGGACTTGGCAGCAGAATGTGAGTCAAATTCTCTCAGGTTCCTAACCAATAACCCCCCCATCGGCCCCGGGCCCGTCAAATAGTAACCACATGCTCCTCTTCTGTGCACGAACAGGGAGGCAGAGGAGGGGGAGAGCCTGCTACTAAACCCAGGTGGGTGTGATGTGGGAAGTGAGGGGGGGGGGGGAGTGCTGGGAGACCAGCTCTTGTGGTTTAGACCACATGTGTTTAACACGGAAGAAAAGTCGTCACGACTGCACCAAAAAAACAACAGTGCTGAGAGGAAGCGCCCAGCGACCCCCCCGTCACACCAGGAACAGGTTTGGAACATCGGTGGAGGAGGTGGAGTCCACATCATGGACCTTCTCGTGCGTCTCGACTCGGTGGCGTGCGGCCGTGTGTGTGTTTGCATCGTACCTTGCGACTTTCTGTGGTAATCAGCTGGGCTTCTGAGAGCTGCACAAACGCAGGGAGACATGGACGAGTGGACAAAGGCGCACAGTGAACCGTCAAAGCGCTGTGGCCCCGCCGGCGAGACGCCGTACTCACGGTTACAAAGTAGCGCGCGTAGTCTCCTTCCCTGGAGAAGAAACTGTACATGTCTGCAGCCAGCTGGTCCTGGGTGACACAAAGACAAAAGGATCCAAAGTCAGCGACTGAAAGACGACACCTTGGTCACGATAACACAATCAACGGGAGGACGGAGTATCTGAGGAGGCGACGGAGCTCCTCCGAGCCGCCGCTCTGAGACCTCCTGCTGCTGGAAGGGAACGCGAGGCTGCGCTTCCTGACGGAACGTCTGACGGCAGTGATTTAGTTCAATAGACGTGTGGCCTGCTGTGATATTTAGACATGACATCATAACAACGCTTCCTGCGTACCTTGCAGAGCTCCACCTTGTTCATGGCCTCGTCCATCTCCTCCTTGAGAAGGTCAGCCTTGGCCGTCAGTGCTTGAGTGTTTGTTCCTGAGATGATTGACTTGGTTGCCTGCAACCACCTGAGTTTGGAAGACAAAGGGAACGTAGGGGAATGCAGATGAGAAGGTGGTTTCCTTCCCGTGTGACGCGTGAGACCGCTGTGGATGGACGAACCTGGCTCTGGCAGAATCATAGTCCAGCACCAATTTGGCCAGATGTTTCCTCTGCCTGAGGATGTTGGGAATGTCCAGCTAGAAAACAGCAGTACAGTTGGATGAGGAGAAGTTGATGTGATGTGATGCTTCTTCCAGGATGTCTGATTAGCCCTTAGTGATAAATAATATCTACACTTTCCGTTAAGGAAGAGCTAAGTATTACATCTACACTCAGAGGGCAGACGACCGGGGGAGCAGGACACCTGGAGACGGAGGTCTCGTCCTCCTCCAAACCGAACCAGCTCGGCAGCTTGTTCGGAGCAACACCCGAGACAACCGGAGCACCCGAAAGAGCTCCTCTTATCAGGGTTACAAACAGTTCATCTACTCAAGGCGAATAGTCGCGTGGTCTCGTACCTCGGCCAGCTGGCTGAGAGGATCCAGAACATCCTTCTCGATTTGCAGCTCATGTTGCATCAGTTCGGATGCCAGGCGGTTCTCTGCCTCGCCGCACACTTCCATCATCTTCCTGTTGACACACGCACACACACACACACACACACGCACACACACACACAAGACAAAGCAAAGGGTTCAAAGTCCCAACACCGTCTTTTTTTATGAGTGACTTCCTGTGTGATGATCACACGTCTTCCTGAGCAGACAGAAGGAGACAGAAGGAGGACAATCTGTCCCCCCCCCTCTGCTCCCACTCAACAGTCCTCATATTTCTCGCTCTGCTGCGTTAGCAACAGTTGCCGAGGAGGAGCTCCTTTTTTTCTCACTCAGCAGCAAACTCACCCGATCAAGGAGTCTTCTCCCAGTTGGTTCCCCCCCTCCACCATCGCCTGCGACAGGCCGGTCAGCGGCAGCTTTTTCTGTGGCGGAGGGACGGACGGGGACAGTGATTAGACTTCCGTTACGCACTGCTGAACATACGCACAGACACGAGCCGGTTCTATACCGCGGCTCCAGCGTGTGACGTTCACTCCGATGGAAAATGGAAAGAAGGGATTTCCATCGAGCAGCAAATGCAGTCAGGAAGAGGACGAAGACAAGAAAGGAGTTAAAGGGTTTTAGAGGCCAAGTAGGGAAGTGAGACGTCCATCAAACGACCACACGGAGCTCTTACATGTTTACATCTGTGCCAAACACTGATGAGTGGGCAACATCCTGTTTTCACCAGAGACGCCCAAAGGTCAAAGTGTCATGCAGAGCGGGAAAGAGGACAGATGTCAGAATGGGAAACGCAGCGAGTGTTTTTACCTGACCATTTCCTGTATAGAGGCGTGGGACGGACTGTGGTGTTTTGGGTGGTGGGGGGGGTAGAAAAAAACAAAAGATAGATCATGGACTGGGGGGCTACTGAAATCAGCTTGTGTGAGGTGACAGAACACAAATGAGGTGGTTACACATCCTGCGACAGACAGATAGTGTCTCACATGTCTCTTCTCGGCCTCGGCGCCGATGTGTCCCTGCAGACACGACACCATCCTCTTGTGCGTGTTGTGGGACACCACGCGCACCAGCTCCATGCGCCGCTCAATCTGTGCAGAAGACAGCAGAAGCAGGTTCGGATCTCCAGCAGAACATCTCCTGGACACTCAACACACACGGAGACACACGCGGTGGCTTGTAACCACGCTGCGTGTCCAGAAAGCGCCACGCCGCCGCGTCTGCAGCGCCGGTCGGCTCAGATTCATTGGATTTGTAGCTGCCTTCGAGGGGAGTCAGGGGTCAAAGTTCATGCACGACTGATGAGGCTGCAGTGTCATCTTGGAAACACCCGACTCAGCGGAGGCGTCTCTGTAGCGACATAGAAAGAGCCCTTTGGTGGCGCAGGCCAACGATCCATCTGCTCCTTTGAGCCGGACTAGAATCCGCTCGTTGAGGAGAGGACAGAGGACGACTGACGCCCTGCAGGACGAGGACACGCCAGGTGTCACCGCCGCTCAGTCTGACGGGGGCAGAGAGGGACGCAGTGAAACGGTCTCAGGAGTCAACGCGCGTCTCAGAAAGGAACGAACGCGTACTGAAGAGTCGGGACACGATGTTCGGAGCACAGAAACCCACGAGAGGATCGACCAGAATAGCAGACAATCCACACACACGACAGAGTGGGATCTCAGGAATTCCCCGGCCTTCCGAACGTCCCCTCCCTCCCCCCTCCTGTCTCTCTCTCTCCCCTTCTTCCCCTCCCCACTTATGTCATTCCTGACCCGAGGTGCCCCCCCCGGCATTCCCTAAACAGCTGGCTCAAATATAAACTGCACCCA